TAAAAATGTTTGATTTGTACTGAATTAATTTCTTACTTTCTGTTTCATTTACAAGAATTACTCAATTATTTTGGTTTTTACAGTATTTCTAAACATTATAAAGGTTATACAGTGATTTTCATTAAAAAAAGTTTATAAGGTTGTACGAACTTAAACATAGGAAGGGAGGAGGTCTGCCGCTAACTATAACATACTGCCGCTAATTGTACAGTACTGTTTACTGCTGCTAATTGTACACAACAGTGAACTGCCGCTAATTGTACAGTTCTGCTGCTAATTATACATTACAGTGTTCTACTGCTAATTATACAGTACACTGTACTGCTGCTAATTGTACAGTACAGTATACTATGGCTAATTATACAGTACACTGTACTGCCGCTAATTGTACAGTACACTAGGTACTGCTGCTAGTTATACAGTACACTGTACTGCTGCTAATTGTACAGTACAGTATACTATGGCTAATTATACAGTACACTGTACTGCCGCTAATTGTACAGTACACTGTACTGCTGCTAGTTGTACAATACAGTGTACTATGGCTACTTGAACAGTACAGTGTTCTACTGCTAATTATACAGTACACTGTACTGCTGCTAATTGTACAGTACAGTATACTATGGCTAATTATACATTACACTGTACTGCCGCTAATTGTACAGTACACTGTACTGCTGCTAGTTGTACAATACAGTGTACTATGGCTACTTGTACATTACAGTGTTCTGCTGCTAATTATACAGTACACTGTACTGCCGCTAATTGTACAGTACAGTGTACTATGCTTAATTGTACTGTACTGTACTGCAGGTGCTGAAAGGAGAGAAAACCTTGAATGGAACTGGAAAAGTCCTGAAGTCAACTGAAAAGGACAATGTTTTTGTTTACTTTGCCGATCATGGAGCTAAGGTGGATTTAAAAAAATTAAAATTGTTTTCAAAAATACAGAAACAAGTGTGTTTAAACAAATTCATATACTATATGTGATGGTACAATATTTTTGTGTAAAGCTCAACGAATTTTTTTTTCATTTTCCCTATATTAATATAATTCATGAAGTCCCATATAGAACTTTAAAATAAAAATTTAAAATTTTGATTAAATCAAAAAAGATATTTGAAAAACATAGTGCATTAATTGTCTCACATTAATCCCAATTCAATTGAAGGAGATGATTTATTTGGCTTACCGTCCCATTTAAGCTGTCATAGTCTACAAGTGTGGGTACTGTACAACTTGGCCTAGATACCTTTAAAGGACTGTTAAGCAAAAATGTAAGGGGTATAGACTGAAACCTAAGTATCTTAAGAGTTGATCGAAACCCTTGCAAGTTCTATCTGATGTTCCTGTCTCCAGAAATTGATATAAACTGTGTCAACTTTATACAAAATGAAAGGGGTATTGGCTGAAACCAAAGTATCTTAGAAGTTGATCGAAACCCTTGCGAGTTCTATATGATGTTCCTGTCTTCAGAAATTCATATAAAACTGCGTCAAATTTATACAAAAATCAGTATACACCAAATGTTGTATAAAACTAGTAGGTTTAAACAGATCATATTCAGCAAATACGCAACCAATTTGAAAGTGAAGATATCCCAGAGGAGTATAAGTTACTTAGGTTTGCTCCTATTATATTATTACTCCCACCAATGAGAGTGCAGTATACTGGTCATGTGATACAGACGGAGACACATGACAATAATACTGCACTGCCATTGGTGGGAGTTCTGGTCATGTGATACGGACATTTAAATAATTATACGTAAATTTTTTCCTTAGGCTAAAGTACCATTCATTTATTTTTTATGTATATTGTATATGTAAACTGAAAAGTTTCAGACACTAAAATGTAAACCTTAAAAGCTTAAATACACTTGCTAAAAAGGTTAGTCTTTATAGCGTACATTGATAATGTAATAAAGAAAACCATATAACACTGTACAAACAAACCAAGCATTGATTTTTAAAAAAACCCCCAAAAAAAATTTCCTTGCGGAGAGCCTCTTTGCACCCACCAAGGAAAAATCCTGGTTACGGGCCTGGTCATGTTTATTTAACATATAATATAATTGTCAGATTTTCAAAAAATGTTTTTTTTTAATTATTTACTAATTCAAAATATTTAAAAAGTTATGGAAAAATGTTTACTTTTCATTCAATTGTGAACATTTAGAGACAAGCCATATTTAATTTTGTTTTCTACTGGCCTATGATTTAAAATATATATTTTTTAAATTGAAAACACCTGGGTTCTGTTGAAATGATGAACAAATAAAATTTTCTAGATTTAGCTGACTTTGCTGGTGACTTTACTCAATAATGTTGCATTTAATTTCAGCTTTTTTATGGGGGTTTATTTTTCATCTAGAGACCCAAAATATTGAGACAGAACCCAGATCTTTAGAAGTCCTTAATTTAGAGTTTTGATTTTACCCACAAGTTTAGAAATTCTAAACAATTTTAGTTTTCCAATGTAGAATGTAGACATAAAATTGCTTACACACAAAGTAAAATATTTGGAGAAATATTACTGCAGTAAACTTAGTTTGTTTTGTTGTAAACTTTGATTTAAACAATACCTTTTTTTTGATAAAAATGTTAAGATCTAAATAAATGATACAAATTTTCTACATTCAATTTTAACTAAAGAAAAGGAATTACTTAAATCAAAGATTATAAAAGATGAAATTCAATTCAATAAAAAAATTTCTCTTTAAATATTTTCCTTTTTGTGAAAAAATTTTAAAGTTTTATATACAACTTTATTAGTCATAATTAGGCACTATTTATGATGATTAATAAATACTTCTCATCTTTGAGAAACCTCTCATGCCACTATGTTGAAAAATTTGTAAACAATCTTTTATTTAAACTTAAAACACAAGTTTTAAAAAACCTCCTGTATTATGGCACATTTTGATGTATTTCGCATGCCCATTAATGCATAGCTGAGGCTTGGTCTGCACTTCTAAGACCCATTCCCCATACATAAATATAGTGGAAGTAGTGATTATTCATGTTGATCCTTTATATGATACATTTATGGACTGGAGCTATACAGAGAGCGTACAGCTTATTTGATTATCATATTAAAAGAGACTGTAAAGGAAAAATAAAAGGAGGTATAGGCTGAAGCCTAAGCATTTTAGGAGTTGATCGAGACCCATGAGAGTGTAATCTGATGATCCTGTCTCTAGTGATATAAAATTGTGTCAAATTTATTCGACATAAAATTTTGTAAAATCGTAGGTTTAAACGGATCATATTCAGCAAATACGCAATCTGAAATTACTTGAATTCAATAATTTTTAATTTTTAATAGATATAATTGACAAAATAATAAGTACCACCGTATTATGTCACCAGAACTCCTTCTAATGGCTAAGGCTATAGTTCCATGACTTTTTCTAGTCATTTCGGTAACAGTTAGTTAAAAAAGAAAAATTTATTTTAAGGTAAGAACGGAACGTTTTTTAAAATTACTGTTAGCGCGATCTCAATGTTAATAACAACATTGTCAAAACCACAGAAGATGACATTTAAAAACATTAAGACACGTACAATTTTTTATGCATTTTAAGTTGAAAAAAATTCACTGTTTAAAAAAATCTGTTCTGTTTTCATATTTAACAGTTTTTTTTTCAAAAACGGCTAATCCGTTTCAACAGTTTGAAACTTTATGGTTTTTACCGTTCGTCAACAGACTCTTCCGTTAATTTTTGAAAACCTACGTTCCGAGCTTAACGGAACTTTTCCCTGCCCTACCAATGGCAGTGCAGTATCAGTGTCATGTGACTCCGTCTGAATCATGTGACCAGTATACATGCACTGTCACCGGTAGGAGTTCTGATTACATAATACGGAAACTCCAGACTCCATAGCAAACTTCAAACTTTGTTGAAATTATTTTGTGGGAATGTAAAAAAAAGTATTTAAAAACCTATTATCAGTAAGCACAAGGAGGCCCGCCCCCTCCCGTAGCGTCAGTGCTCACAATAGTTTCAGTAGAAGTAAATATTTCCATTTAGTGTTATAGCGCCGATATAAAGATCTATCTCTAATTGGATGATGAGATAGAAAGAATGATAAATGTTACTGCTATGCAATTTCTATTGGTTCAGAATATACACCAAACATATGGCTGAACCCTGATTGGATCAGGCGCTAATGAACTCGGCATGCAATAGTGTGCTATTGTCATGACTCGAAAACAATGGGTTTTTGCAAACATATACTTTAATTATTATAGTTTTTAGTTTTTAATTTAAATTTTTTATAATCTTTAGAATTGCTGAAATATGTGCAACAAGTGTTTAATCAATGTTAATTTATCAAAGGCCTTTTCAAAGCCTTTGATAAATTAATTTGATAAATTAATTATGATAAATTAATTAATTTTCAAGGCCTTCACATCGACACAAATATGTCTTGAACAGGGTGTCCCAATAAACATGAGAATTAAGTGCCGACTTTTATATTTTCTTTGATCCATGCGGCATTGTTTCTTGAACAAAATTATTCCAGTTTAAATATTTAATCAGAAACGCTTGATTTTCCTAATGTGGTCTACCATTCTTGTATCTTCAAAATTGAAGGAGATATTGCTAAAATGTTACAAATTTCAATTTATTTAAGATAACAAAATTATCTTAATATCGTAAGACATCCTCGTTTATTACTTTCTTTGCCATGCATTAAATATCATTAAATATCATGTCTTAGACACTTTCTAAGTCATGTTTTTTTAGGCTTCATTGTGTTTAAGACCCATTCTAAGGCACAATTCTAAGTCTGTATAAGGTCTGAAACACAGTTTTAGTCACACTTTTGTCTATTTAACAGTTGTCTGGCTTATTTAAATTCAAGGCCTATTCTAAGTCACAATAATTTCAAAGTCTTTCTAAAATGATTTTTGAACAGATAAATGAAGGATTTCTTTCATCTTACTTATTTTACAACAGATATAAACATTTGTTAAATCCATCTGAAAAGCACAGTGAAAAGCAATGATTCTGCATACTCAGCTCATGCATTCATAATTTGACTGGAAAGTTAATCTTTTCTAAAAAATAGTGAGTAAGGCATCAAATTTGATTTGTTTTTTCGCTTTTAATGCTTTCAAATGTTTTGTTTTTTTTGATGCTTTTAAATTGCACTTTTGATGCTTTACTACACGGTCAAAGCATCCAAAATTTTGAAATTGAAAGATAGTAGTCGTGTTCTTAATGTACTTTGGGGGACGATAGTTTGGCTGCTAGATATCTCTCGTATGAATTATCTATTTAAAAAAGAAAAAGAAAATAATATGAAAATTTTCGGGATACTAAAGATGTGGTTAAATAATCGAATTAATCCCGTTTTAAGTAGAAATTGACGATCATATGGAAGATCATTCCCGGAAGACTGTTTAGGGGAGGTTCGGAAGCTGTATAGTACA